ATATATATATACGCGTTTTTATGGGTGAAATTTATGCATAGTCATCCTGAGGATCGTGGAAACATTTGTAAAATACCAGATATTAATTTTAACTGTAAGTCTGCGCGAAGTTTTGATGGGCTCTAACAGTGCATCCATGTACATATGAAAGATATCTGCTAAATAAATGGATTTCAAGATTACGTTTAAATGCGTCTGTCGAATTCATCATTATGAACTCCTCAGGAAGTCCATTCCAGGCACCGAAGACCCGATGTGAAAAAGAATGGCTGCGGAAATCCAGATGGGATAAGGTTCCTCGGAGTTTGAGGGAAGTGTCACGGAGGTAAGTTGATTTGGTGAATGCGAAGAAGTCATAAAAATGCAAGGCAAAGCCTGTTTTAATTTTTGAAGCTCCCTTTAGACGGCCATACGAGGAACTATCGCCCATGCGAATAATTTTGTCAGCACTTTTCTCAAGTCCAAACGGCCCAGAATTTCCAAGCAGTTAAGCCTCGTCATTACGTTCACAGTTTTCCAACTTTATCTGTTCAACTTTCAAATGTACGTTTTTCGCCATGTTAGGCTAACATTTATCAGAACATCATTTTTAGGTCAAATTTTTTTCTGCCTCGGAAAATAGTCTCTTTCTTCATGGATGCTGCCCAGATATATTTTACTAAGAAAGTCCAAATTTATTTAAAAATCACAGCTCCCCAAATTATAGACCACAGAAATTCTACTTTCTATCTTTTGTCTATTCTCTGCAGTTTTCTTCGCCACCAAATCCTGTTTGCAAATACTAATGAGCGTAATCCGCGTCTGGGGAATATGCTCAGAATAGTTTCAGTCAACTCGGAATCAGTAGTGAATAAGATGACTGATCTCGGTAATATTTAAATGGCAATTTTGAGGGTTACGTGTGTTAACCCTTGATGACCCTTTTCACTTACAGTCGAGTTAAAAATTGCACAAAACATGCAAAACATGAAATTTAGTATGTGTAAACGTTACAGGACCACTTTTTATAGGAAATATGTACTGTTTTGATACATATAAATTGAAATCATGAAGTAAAGGTAAAGGCTCTTCGGAGACAGTCCTGCAGTGCCAGTCTTCGGTTATCAAACATTAAGTAATCCGCCTGC